ATGAACTTTCGACAAAATGAACTTTCGACGAAATGATTGTCGACGAAATAATTGTCGATGAAGTGATTGTCGACGAAGTGATTGTTGACGAAATAATTTTCGACGAAATGAACTTTCGATGAAATGGGTGTCGACGAAATGATTGTCGACGAAATAATTGTTGACGAAATGAATCAGATCCCTTATAATCATATCGTATGTTAAAATAAAAAAATATACACGCACCAGACCAATGATTGTTGTGTAATGTTGATAAAACTTACTTGATTTATTAACAATGTTGATTTACACTTTTAACTTATTAATATTATAAACAGATGCACGTTGAATAACAATATTAAATATTCTAAAACATCAAGGAATTTATATAATACAGTATAACCTTGTTAGAACAAAGTGACTGGATACATAAGAAAATTTCATTCAAAATTCGTTGAAACAAAAATTGAAACAAGGTTTCACTATATTAATTACATGTATCGTAACGTAGGAACAATACACAGTGAATCTCGATTAAGCGGATACTAATTAAAATCTCAGTTTAACGGTGAAGTTCAAGAACGGTTCCATAATAAACCTTAATATTAATAAAATCCTTTTCGATATAACGGATTTTTGGAAAAATTTCCCTAATACTAATTACTCAAACTATCCGTTAAGCCGAGATTCACTGTGTACTGCAATAGTAGTACATTCAATCGAAATAAAATAATTTTATTAAAGGTTAAATGACAACCATATTTAAATTGTATGGACGCAATTTACTTCTACGTTAATACCTAAAAAATAGTGTGTCGATAATGTAAAGTAGTTAGCAGTTTTTAAATTAGTAAATATACCTTTCCGACGGGGTTTTCTATTCGAATTATTTGTTTTATTCGTTATGAATGTTTATTTGAATAAAACGAATAAAATGAATAATAATAAAACGAATAATTCGAATAAAACGAATAATTCGAATAAGAATTTAGAAATTCTACTTTCTGAAACAAACACCTTGATCCGTACAATAGTCATCAATTTTTTTCCTTGTCCATATCAATTGCTACAGTGCTGCATGGTTACGAACTTCTGGGCGTCTTGAAAAGGTTCATATACAATCACCACACTTCAATATCGTAATTCTGTTAAATAAATCAATAATAATTAAAATAATAATAGTCTGTCTATTAAACAAATTTATGATGGCTCTATTTAAGTAATAATAATAACAATTTAACTCTACGAGTATCATCTCTAATTATAAATGTGATGAATTTTTTAATTTTTTCTTTTCATTCTTTTCAACTTCCTCTAGTGTCAAATATGAATAGAATAAAGATTCTTCTAAATAAAGGTAACGAACTCGAATTCCTTATTTCGTCAACTCTCTTAACAAGAGTCGATGCCATGGTATGTTTTCTGACTATATAAATTTTTTGTTTGGAGATACGAGTTAGTGTGTGGAAGAAATGACAATTAATAAAAAGGAAACTAGAGACGGTTTTACTGTAGGTCCACATTTATTTCATGTTTTTAACGAAAATGATTACACATATAATTGATGGCTTTTATCAGCAATTCGTACTAAGAGAGGATATTATTACTATGTTGTCATGTGAGACGAACATTGTGAATGCTTTTGGTGTTTCTCGTCTTCCACCTTTTTAATGATAATGGAAAAAAAGATCAAATGAAGGAATAGAAAAACGATGCTAAAACTAAAATGTCATATGAATTGTACACGCCTATTGATTCACATAATGATCAATCAGACACAAAAATAATTAAAGCAACATTTACTAACAATGGGCAAACTACTTTGAATAAATAAATAATCTTTGATCCGGAACATCTGTTACCAAAGTTTGATACTGACATTGTTGATCAGTGCTTTACACTTTTGTAGAAACAACAGGAAGCATAATAACAATATTATTATTATTTAGTTATATGGTTAGACATTTTTTAATAAAGTTATTAATGATTGACATACTGTAAATATATTATTGCAATGCCTACTACGCATTATATAACATGGATTTTCAATGCCGTTTGTTTGCATAGGGTCTGTTGATTATCACTTTTTTGGTGTTAAAAAACAGTGGCATTGTTCAATGCTATTTGATGTCTCTAAAAATTTCTTGATGTAATACTAATACACATCTACATTTCCGTGCAAAGCCTTTGAAGCAAATAAATCATATTAATAAATTTATGATTGTTTTCAAGATGATCCATTTTTTGTGTCTTTTCTTTGCCTTTAAAAACTTTGTAAAAAATTGGTTTATATGAAATTAGAGAGGCACAACATAAAATTATTTTATTTGGATTTAATCCATCAGTACATCATGAAAAATAATGTTGGATGCCAAAAATTAAAGAAATTACAGCCAAAAATATCATTACATTTATTGGGGAGTCCCACATCATATGATTTACATAGTCGATCACATATACAAGAAGGATTTTTCGTCGATCTTTTTTTTAATAGTAAACTTTGAACGAAAATAACTCTTTAAAAAACAGAGGTACAAATTCCAAATTAAGTTTAAAAATATATTAAAAGGATAGGACGATGTCCCTATAGAGAGTTTTTTTTTTAATTTTAATATAAATCACATCACTTATTTTAAACTAAAAGAAAAAAAGGAAAGTTATGTATATATGATACAAAATTTTGTGCAGATAAAATTGCAAAAAGCTCCCTATATACCTAAAGAGCATCAAAATGCGAATCCAAACCATGTCATTTTATTTAGATACATCATATAGTTTAAGAGTTATTTCGATTTTTGTAATCTTGCAAATATATTTTGACCAAATTTTAGTGTTATATAGCTCTCTGAAAATATTCCAACATTCTAAAGTGTAACAGATTACCAAATTTCAGAATAATATTTAAATGAAAGAATTTTACACGACTCACATTGACTAGAAATTACTTGAAAATAAATCTACACAGAAGATTTAAATGATGCTTAAGGAATATATTAATTAATACATATAATTTAGGATTTCAAAGAAATCAGAGAACTAGATGATAGAACCTTTAACATATATTAATACATTGTAAATTTCTCTTTTCATGTATAATTCAGTTCAGTTTTGAATTTTTTGTCTTGTAACAACAATAATATCTTAATAATAAAATACAAACATAAATATCTCTTAAAATAACCTCTGGCCAGTGGAATAATCCACCCACTTCCAAAACCAACCCATTCACTTTAATTAACTCAATTAATTAATCATTTACTAACTTACCAGGGGTCACCTTTGATAAGTATAGTTGTGTGTGTATTTTCTTTTAATTTTATTTTCTTTATTTTTATTTAGATTAGGCCAACACCTAAGAAGTAGAAATCCTAGCTAGGTGCAGTCAGTTAAGATACTGAGCCATAAATATAATTAATAAGTATAGAAAGTATCAAGGCAAATACTTAGAATATAATAAAAATAATTGAGATGTGCCAGCTCAGGCAGATAACAAAGGACTGCTGAGAAAATGTTACCAGAAGGGAAGCAAAACTTGCCCTATAATGGATTAATAGCTTGGGTGCTATTACTGCCATAAATAAAGAAAGCATGATTAAGAATTGAATATTTGGATACTGCCAGACAGATGAAATAAATACTATTCTAATCAAATCAAGAGATTTGTGTGAGATGCGGATTTTGATCTCACAATGGTAATAGTCCTATCAAATACCTGGTTAATATTGACCAATTAGAACGAATTTACTACAGAAGTATCTTTGTTTTTATATTGTTAAATTAACTTTCTTCTCAAATTCTGGCAAATATATTTTTAGCAGAGATGGTATAAGCTGTGATGTTTTTTCTCAGATCCTCATCTAACATCATGAAAATGCCAATAACTTGGTATAAATCAAGGATCTTCATTGCCTTAAATGGTAATAGTTGGTAAAATTATTCTTATTATTTTATATTAAATATGAATTAAAATAAAAACCAATTTCTTATTACATGATTTCCTCCAGGAATTCACATATCAAATCGATTTCAGACCACATAGTAATTTCACATATCCATCCTATGGTACAAGTGGTATGAAGATGGTACAAATATCATAATTGTACCAAATTCATTACCCAAATATATCTACAACATAATAAAACATCCAAAATCATATCAAAATCAATATCAAATTATTTGGTACAAGTGTACAAAGGATGATTTTCAATATTTCTATCCACAACTCCCTTAAATATACAATAATTTTCCTCTTTTTTTCCTTTACCTCTTTGTACCAATCTACTTTTCTATCCAAAATGCATTAATTTACCTCCCAGAACCTCAAATCCAATACTTTCTTGGTACAAGGACAAATTTGTACCATCTTTGACTCACTCTTTGTACCAGCTTTTTACATGCTAATTGAACACACCCATAATATAAATATCTGAGTAAGATACTTGACTAGAATTTGCAATTGAACTAATTTGATTAATAACAAGAAAATGAGTGTATTTGGCGCATCTAATTAAGAATACAATGATTTACACCTTAGATCTCTTCTTGCTTCAGCTAAAACTTCTCAAGAATTGCAACCAGTTAAAGTATATTTATTGAGATATTTTGCTCATGCTGATGTGGGAGTATATAGATGGATGCCAAGAACTCAAACTTTTAAGCATTATAATAAAGGAGATGCTTGTGAATTCCTTATTCCATGTGGTACTAAAAAGGTTATTAATGATGAGGGTGAAGTGATAAATGAATTTAGTTTTCTATCATGGTTTTTAAATAAGACTCCATTCTTTGCCCTTGAAGTTAATACAACTCATTCTCATGTCTATCAAGCTCCAGATGGTGGGTATTATATTAATCAATTTCCCGGATTTCTTCATCCTAATCCACCCATTCTATCAATTTAGCAAGAAATCCAGGATCAGGTAAAGTTATTTCTTAACCATATGAGAGAAGTCCTTTGTTCTTCTGATAAAAAGCAAGAACTATATGATGGGATTAATTTCATAAATAGCTACTGGCCAAAAATGCAAAAATCAATGTTTCTTTATTCAGGTGCAGGAACTGGTAAAACAATGCTTACATGGTTTCTCCAAGGAATGGTTCTTGGCCCCAAAATTACCCATAAAACTACTAATGAAAGAATTATTACCACACAATTTAATAAAGAATTGAAAGGTAAAGTTTTACTTGTTCTTGAAGAAATGTCTAACTCAAAATCTGGTGACTGGATAGCATTTGCAAATCAACTTAAAGACTTTATTGATAGTGATACCTTAATGATAGAAGAAAAGCATAATACTTCATATCCAGTTACTAATGTTACAAATCTAAACAATTTATTTAGATAAAGATGACTGAAGATATTTCATTCCAGATGTTTCAGATAGGTATGTAGAAAATGGAAAGTGCTTGGATCATTACTATGTTCCACTCTTACATTCAATCAGCGGAATTGGTATACGCTAACCAAATCTGGAAATTTACTGCAGATAATTTCTAAAATTAGACTAGTTTTATGTTAAGGCGCAGTCGAACTTCGAGCACTGATTGCAGGCATTGAATTTTACACACTACTCCTCAAATCAACAACTTTCGGATTTTAATTTTGACTTCATGTATAATTATTACATTAATACAGTTGCAGGACATTGTCACCTTCGGGGGTCAAATGGAACAGAACCCCAGAAGTCACATAGATAGGTTACCTGAAAATTCCTAACATAAATAAACTAATTCATCAACAGCACCACGTAGATATATGGTCTTTACTCTTAATAGTAAGATCATCCAACACTTCATTATTAACTTTACCAAAATTTTCCCTGACCTTTCAAATTTTTACATATTGATTCACGCACATTTTGGGTAACCTATCTATGTAGTTTCTGGGATCCTAATTAAGCATACTGGCTGCAACTTTTATCCTTGATAATAAAACCTTATCAAATTACTATTTGGTATATTTTTGGGTAATAAGATCACAATAATTAAAATTACCCTTGCATTCATGAAATAAATAGTTTATTATTTTTGAATAGCCATAGCTTTACACATAAAAACTTTAATAGTGCAGTTTTACCTTTCTTTGATAATGAAATTTGATATTTTTAAAAAACACTGTTACACGATTCGAGTTTTTAAATTTTTATAATATTAATATATATTAATATTTGCAATGTCCTCCGCACCCTGATTTTCCAATTCACTCACGGTGCGCACGCTCTAACCAAATTTGGAAATTATAATGCAGGTTTTGCAAAAAATCAACATATTTGTATATATTGCGCAGTCAAATTTTCAAAAACCGTCAAATGTCTGAATACATTAAATTCCTAATCAAAATTGGCGTTGTGGTCAGCGACTAAAATGACTTGCACCATTTATATCCGTAGAATTTCTTTGTTCTTCTCAAAACAATTTTTTTTTTCTTGTTTGGTTTCTTGTTTTTATGAAAAACTAGTTTCAAAACTTGAATGAAGTTTCTACAAACAATATAATAAATTTTTTTTTGACTAAACTATATATACATAAATATATGTTTAAAGATTTTTTCACGTGTTCATACTAACTTTTTTTTTTATTGGACAATTTAATTCTCAAATTTTAATGTTTGTATGAAATAAAAAAATAAAGATTTGTTATTTATTATTAATTATTATTATTATTATAATTATTATTTTTTGTTTAAAAAAAAATCCCCCACACAAAAAAATAAAATTTATGAAAAAATTTATAATATTTTAAAAAAAATATATGTATGTATGTATGTGCTTTGTTATATTGTTTTTTTTTATTTTTATTTTTTGATTATTTTTATTGATGTATTCTATAATTAAATTAAACATCGGCGTCTTGTTCTAATTCTTCTTCATACTCTTCTTGTTCTTCTTCTACTGTTGCTTCTTGATATTGTTGATATCTAAAGAATTAAATTTGATTAAATAAGTTAATATAAATAAATAAATAAATAGACATAAAAAGTCGCAAAATATTTAATATCACTACTACTACTATGATACATACTCTGATACTAAATCGTTCATGTTAGATTCAGCTTCAGTGAATTCCATTTCATCCATACCCTCACCAGTATACCAATGTAAGAAAGCCTTACGTCTAAACATAGCAGTGAATTGATCGCTGATACGTTTGAATAATTCTTGAATGGATGTGGAGTTACCGATAAAGGTGACTGACATTTTAAGACCTTTTGGTGGAATATCACATACAGCGGCTAAAAAAAAAATTGTTTTTATAATTAATTAATTAGTATAAATTTACAAAAATGTCAAAATAATGATATATCCCTCTCTTCATAAAATTATTTTTTTCAACTTACTTTTGACGTTGTTTGGAATCCATTCGACAAAGTATGAACTGTTCTTTGTTTGAACAAGTAACATTTGATCGTCTACTTCTTTCATTGAGCAACGTCCTCTGAACATAGCAGCTACAGTCAAATAACGACCATGTCTTGGATCTGAGGCTGCCATCATGTTTTTGGCATCGAACATTTGTTGAGTCAATTCTGGAACGGTCAATGCACGGTATCCTTGTGATCCTCTAGAGGTCAATGGTGCAAAACCAACCATGAAGAAATGAAGACGTGGGAATGGTACTATGTGGTTATTAATGAGAATGTAATGTGAAAGAAATAAGAGTGTGAGTGAATTGAGCGAATATGAAGGATGATGCATATGTATATATATTTAAAAAGAATAATAATTACCCATGTTTACAGCTAATTTTCTTAAATCTGCATTTAATTGACCGGGGAATCTTAAACATGTAGTAATACCGCTCATTACAGCAGATACTAAATGATTGAGATCACCATAAGTTGGAGTACTTAATTTCAATGTACGGAAGCAAATATCATATAAAGCTTCATTATCGATACAGAAAGTTTCATCAGAATTTTCTACCAATTGATGTACTGAAAGAGTAGCATTATATGGTTCTACGACTGTATCTGATACCTATCAAAATGATGACGATGATGATGATGATTAATTAACAATATTTTTCACATTTATCAAGAAGAAGAAAAAATAGAAACGCGTAAATTAATTAATCATTTATATAATACTATATTAATTTACCTTTGGTGAGGGAACAACAGAGAAAGTACACATCATACGATCGGGATATTCTTCACGGATTTTTGAGATAAGTAAAGTACCCATACCAGCACCAGTACCACCACCAAGAGAGTGAGTTATTTGAAAACCTTGTAAACAGTCACAAGATTCTGCTTCTTTACGAACAACATCTAATACAGAGTCTACAAGTTCGGCACCTTCAGTATAATGACCTTTGGCCCAGTTGTTACCAGCTCCACTTTGACCAAATACAAAGTTGTCTGGACGGAAAAGTTGTCCAAAAGGACCAGCACGAACTGAGTCCATAGTACCAGGTTCAAGGTCTACAAGCACGGCACGTGGTACGTATTTTCCACCCGCTGCTTCATTATAATAAACAGATATCCTTTCAAGTTGAAGGTCAGAGTCACCTTGGTAGGCACCAGAGTAGTCTATACCATGTTCATCTGAGATGACTTCCCAAAATTTAGCACCTATTTGATTGCCACATTGGCCGGTTTGTAAATGAACAATTTCTCTCATTGTCATATAGAAAGTTTTTTTGTATAAAGAAGACTATAAAAAAGTTAAATAAAAACCACCACCAAATATTAGTATTTAGCAGTAGTGAAAAATAAAACGTATTTAAGAAAAAAGAAATACGCGTGTGTTTTGTTATTTATTAAAAAATAATAAAAAGAGCTCTCTTTGGAGGCTTTTATATTATATATATTGATAATATTTTTATTAAAAAAAAGGATTGGTATGCACACTTAAAAAAAATTTTTTTTTTTAAAAAAAAAAGTTGAAGAAAAAAAAAAGAAATAAGCAGTTATTAAAGTTGAAGAAAGAGGGACAGAAAGCAAAATTCAGTTGGTCTTTAAAATTTTCTTTGTAGTACTGTACGCGTAATAAATGTATTGCACGACAGTTTTTTTTTTGTTATAAAGAAAGAAAAGAGAAAAATCACTCACTCACTCACCTAAAAATAATAATTCAATCAATTAGAGACTTTTTTGTTTGGAGATAATAATGCAGCATATTTACTTATATATGTATATGTAATCTAAAATGCACCAATCAAAATCTCACATTTATTATCTTCTGTTTTAATTAATATATATTTATATATATTGTAGTTATGTATATAATATTATGTATATATTATGTAAATAATAATAAATATTTTTATTTGTGATCTTAATTTATATATCATATAATTTGAGGGAAGATCCCTCTAATTAAAATCAACCTCTCTTTGTATCTATTTTACAGCCATTAAAAATAGATCATCACCAGTAATTTATTAAGTTTCACCACTCGCGCATAAAAATAATCAACTACTATTATTAATTTATTCTCCTGATGGCTGATATTCTTTGTACTTAATTAATAAAAAATAAATCTTGTTCTAAAATTGACCAAGCAAATAATAAATTCCATATAAGGAAAGTTGAAAAATGTAGTGAACACGCAATAACTCATAATCTCATGTAAAATCACCATTTTTTTATATTAATCAAATTTATTGTGATACAAATTTTATTTATTATATGTAGCAAAAATTAGTTAATCATCACGCGTCACCGATTATTTTATATGCAAATAATCAACTATGAAAATAATTTTTTTTTAAAATCTAATAAAAAAAAACTAATTTAGTAAAGATGAAAAGACTTAATTTAGTAAAGAAAGAAAAAAAAATGAGCAACGGATGAATGGTTGGTTGGCCGATTGAAAAAGGTTTCCAGTTGAAATTTGGCAATTAGATTTAGGTTTTTTTTTTGTATTTATTAATTGTAATAAATTATTACAAATTTAGCATAAATATTATAAATATTGATAATTTTTATTGTGTGTTTGTTGTTTTGCTTATTATTTACTTGCGGCATTTGTTAATTAATTAATTAATTGGATTTCTAAGTGGACAAATTAATACATTTATGATTGATTGATGTTAGCAAGCAATTCAAAAATCTAATTTTAATTACTCGATTGATTGATTAATTTAATTCACATTCCTTTTTTAATTTACGCATAACGTGAATTCGACAAATCGGGATAATAGCAAATAGAGATTTTCTTCGACTAAAAAATTAGACGACGACGATCGACAAAAATTTTACGTGTCAATAAGCATGAAATAGATAAATTTGTCAAATAGATAAAAAATTTTTCTAAACAATATGTTTTTTTTTCAAAAATAATTTATCATACATAATAATAATAATTTTTAAATCTATACTAATTAGTATTTTTCATTAGAACAATAATAACAGAAACCAAGTACTCTCGCCAAAAAGTATTCTTCCCACAATTAGTCAAAGTCTTTTGTTTTATCCCCACTATAAATATTTATATTGTTACAAGGTTGGTCTTCAATTTATCCGGTTAAAAAACTGGATTGGCAAAATTTTACCGGATTTAATATATTAATATTAATATTTTGAAATGTTTATCGGAATTTCCCAGTAAAACCCTAATAATATTAACTAAATAAACCACACTCGCCGTAACGAGCTCTCTCTTCCTATTGGTGGATATTTCCATAGCAAACAGAGAGGCACAGAAAATACATATGGGCGGAAGTTACTGTATATTTAATATTAAGTCCAAGTTATTGTTGGTTGTATTAACGCAGTATAGTGCGTGTCACAAAAAAATTCTTTTTTATAGTAATATAGAAAGAGGTGCCAAATCTTGACATGCGAAAAGTTTATTGCGTATAAATCACGCAGAAAATTGATTCTTAATTTAGACTTATTAAAATTTTGGGTGGAGTGATAATTTATTCCAGCCAAAATTTTAATTATATTGTATCAAACAAACTCGGGTTAATCCATGCAAAATATCTGTTTATGTTAATGTAATATTAATAACAACAATAAAGGTTATATGATATTTTAAAACGTGTCCTATATCTATGTGTCCACATAATTGAAACCTATATTTTACTGATCTATTTACTTACCATTCAGAAAAGAGGTATTAGCGATTTTCTATTCAAGTAGAGCAAGCCTTCTTTCAGATATATTTAACACATAAATATAGATGTAAATTTACACATAAAAATCATAAAAATCATAAAAATCATAAAAATCATTAAATTTGAACAAATTTATTCAAAAAAATATATATACACACATGTTACCACTCTTTTATTATTATCATCATGATGTTTATGATGATGATGATGACATTCATTAACGACTTCCATCATATGATTTTTTATTTGATGGTGGGTTATAACTGGACATGAGTTAGTTTTTGATAATTGCTGAGTCTTTTATTATTGTAATATTATTGTCTTTGTGATGAAGGTGGTGCTGACACAGGCATTTGTTTTAGTTTATTGTCTAGTAGAGATTTTGTAGGAGTTTTAATATTATTTATCATTTGGTCTTGTAATATTTTTTCAAGTTTATCAGAAACCTCTGCATATTTTTCTTCAAAAAACCTTTTGTCTTTTTGCCATTGAATTTTTTTATCTTCTGACAAGTTCTCTGCCTCTAACACAATATCATAAGCAAGATTAATGATAGTTAGGTATAAAGGTTTATTCATGTTTTTAAGTTGGGGGAGTTGTTTATTTTGGACATTGACAGGATCTGCCTCATCTAATTTATTCAGTAACCAAATAATATCATCAGGATTTCCATTAATTCTGGCTCGCTTAATAGATGACCTCATCAATTCTATTATATCTATTTCTTTGAAATCAATTCCTATTTCCGAGTAGTTTTCAATGAAATATTTTACACCATCTAAACTATGAAGATTATGGCATGCCATCAACATTGCTCTGAATGTTTCTCTATTTGGTTTTATCTCTGTATCTTTTATTTTATCATTAAATAATTCTAAAATTTTATTGTATTGATATGTTGAATTGTACAGAGACATTAAACCATTGTAAGCACTAATATCAGGTTCTATTCTTGGATATTTTTCAATGATCTGGTTATAGTATTTTAACCCCAAGATATATCTTCTTCCTTCAATGCACATATTAATAATAGTATTTAAAGAATCCTGTGTAATTGGTAAATTTAAAGCTGATGATGATGATTGATATTTACCAATTCCATATGTATAATCAATAATACTAAACGCATCTTTTAAATGATGATTACTTTTGTATGTTGCAAGTATATTACAGACCAATTCGTCATCAATAGGTACAGAGTTATTATCATTATCTTGCACATCCATGCTTTTATCCAAACTATCCCATATATCATTTGCTATTTTTTGAGCTAATCTTGGATCACCTGAAGCAGGTTTAATACTTGTTGCCAATAAGTATAAATAAGTTGATTTGTCTGGTTTCACAATTCCATTTTTTACGTATTTTTCGTAAGAACTATATGCAGCACTAAGATTGCCAAAATTTTGACAAGTTTTTAATAGGTAATTTAGATGTTCAGTTTCAAGTCTATATTCAGGATTTGTTTTGCTTTTTGCATTCATCAAATCAATAATTTTTCTTAAATGTCTTACGGGGTTTGCCGAAACGTTTTCTTCACTTAAACCTCTCAACATTGCAGTGAATGCTTCTTGGTTAGGAAACAATGATAATGATTTCATCTATTTCGAAGATAAATTCATTAATAATAATCATGACAACATTAATTAATATTAATAATAGGAAAATATTATTTTATACCTTGTCAAATAGTTTAAGTGCCATTGTAATTTCATTTTCATCAACAAATTCCACCACTAATCTACTCCAATCCTCCCTATTTTTGAGTTTGTCGCATTCTTCATTTGCTGCCAAATCATTAATTTTTGTCTGGTCAAGTTCACTAATTTTTCGTTTTAATTCTTGATACTTTTCTTCTGCGTCAGTTTCCAAACTACTACTACTATCATCAACAATACTAGTAACAAGTTGACGGACGCGTGTTGAAATGGCTTTTCTATAGTTTTGCTGTTGATGATTATTAGGGTAGATATTTATTGATAAAGTTGAATATTTTATTATATTTGGTAGCAATAAATGTGGAGCTACTATATTAGCATTTAACAAGAGCTTTGTTGGTTTATTACGATTTATTAATATTAAATTTCTAGAAATTTTTGTTAACGACATGTTATATTACCATAAAATAAAACTTTTTTTTATCAAAGATCATCAAATTGAATGATTAATGAAAATCATACTAATTTAGAATTAGTGCATGTGCTATTTTTTGATTTTAGAAAAATTTGTCGGTAGTGTCAATATTAATAATTATAATTATTGGAAGTTATGGAAGTAATGGTGGTAGTAATTAAATGATGATGGTATTGGAACCGATAATCTCGTCAAGGATGATTGGGAAATTGATACTTGGTTGCACCACTATACCCAGAAAAATATGTTAAATATATAATGAACCGTCACAAGGGATGTTTTGTTACTCTCTTCACTAATTTATTAACACTTTAAGATGTATTATTAATTGTTATTAGACTGGATCTCCAATGATACATCAATCCACTTGGCAATGAAGTTTATCGAAATACCCAAAAATAATTGGTCTTAAATTTGACACGAGTCAAATTTTCGTGTAACTTTCAACCAACAACATAGTAGTAGGACCCAAAACTATAAGCTTTGCCATAGCTGGGTCAACCCTATCTATAGGTCTACTATTAAAAAACGCAATGTTTGTTAAAGATCATTGAAAAACGTATTACAAAAATTTGGATCGGTTTCCACAACCACAGCGTTGGGTCAAACCTTATATTAGCCATGATCTTTTTGTTACTTGGATAATCTAAAAGAAATTAAAGATACAACTCCTGGATCTTAATCACTTGCCTATTAACATAGTTCAAATCAATTTGAAATATGATTACAATATAAATAACTACTATAACGATAATAATAGTGAAATTATAATGTTAATTGTATCATCATCATACTAATACGTATTGAAAATTGCTTTACCATAAATAAAAATTTTGTATCACCAAATAAAAGATTTCAAGATTATAATTTGCGTAATCTACCGTGTTGTGCATGCATAATTTAATATTAAAGTTTGTTGCCGCATAAACCCGGCGTCTTTTAAACACAAGTATGGGCCACTGATAGAAGTTCTAATCTATAAATTTTATTAAATGAATATTATTCTTGATTATTAATTTACGCACTGTTTGCTTGATTAAAATTTTACACTTAAATCCTCTCATCTAATAACAATAAATTACATACATATCATCATTATTAACAGGTTTGATTTATTTTGTTATTATGGTTCAAGTACATTTCAATATTGGATGATAATATATTTAAAAGGCGGGTATTGGCCTCAAACGTAACATTTGAAAATAGGGTATTTTAATAATTTGTTATATTTGAATATTGAGTAAATTTTTTCAGGACCTGCAAATATTTCAACCTCGATTGTTTTACGTTTTATGGCCGAGTTTCGAATTAACTTCTTAGCTACACTCACTGATTAATTGCAAGCTTTTATATACAATGTTTGTCAATTTATTTCACGAATCTATTTACAAATTTTTTATTATCAATTTGACGTAATATTTTTGCATCTACTTTACATACCCTTCGTAAGAATAGGGTTTACGTATACGTAATAAAATGAAAAAAAATTTATGTATAATGCACATATTTAAATTATAAAAATTTACTTGTATGCAAGGATCGCATCATTATTTGACATAAATATATACATGTTAAAATTTTATTTTATCAAAGATATACTTTGCTATCAATAAATAGTATCATTAATTAATGTGCAAGAGCAATATACATTATTATTAATATTATGAATTATTCAATTATTCATTATCCTTAACACTTGAACTTTGTGGTTCCTGTTTAATATCAGAATCATTTTCATCGGGATACTGTAAATTTACGAGAAATTAATCAAATTAAACTAAAATACCTTCAATAAAATTATATTGGTTAAGGGCAAATCTTACTAATATTCTATCTATTTTTTCTCTGATAAATTTTCATCTACTTACACCATCATGATGTTCATCTAAAACATACTGGATGTGTGTAGCAACTTTTTCACTAGTATTTTCCCCAGACTTTTCTTAAAATTGATTCAAAATAAGTTTCATCATCTGTAAGGCTCCGAACGAATCGATTTGATTCGTGACTCGGTTCGATTCAATTCGAATCAAACCGGATTCCTAAATTTTCTATGAATTAGGCAAGAATAAACAAACAATTATAAAACACGTGATTTATTGTGTAACAAAGTAGTCGGATATTTACAAATAGGCTTTTAGACTTATATGATAAAAATATTAAGAATATTATAATCAGATTCTGATATTTGCTGATACCCCATTACTCAATTTGGCATCATTTGACCAGTAAAGAGAGAACCAATAGATTGTATATAAGCAAAGAAAAATGGGACCTTAAATTATCACAAAAGAATTTTAAATCATGCACAAACATAACAGCTTGATAGATTGATTGACATAGTGATGCAGTCTTTGGATTCAATGCAATTTTTTTTTATTGTATAATTAATCATATGTTTTTAACAAAACAAACATGACTTACTATTTAATCATTTCCTTTGTTTCCTTGTATGTGAATGCTTCCATCCATCAAATATTCATGATGTTCATGATGGTTATTCAATACATTTGATGTTATCATTGACATAACAAACAATTGCATCACTCAGGTAGTGATAATACCAAGGCCATGCATAAATGAAAACTTTTAATAATGCATGTCTACCAAGATCTCTGGGGTTCACAAAATAAATTATTTTTCCTGATTATCAATTATGGTTCCTTATGAATAATAAATCTGATGTTGGTCATAGGTGTCAGATTTAATTAAATTTTCCTATTACAAACATGCAAACTCTGTGCGATTAAACACAATTCAGCACCATGTAATTTTTTTCCACAGGTGAAAGAGATTTGAACAAGTTAGAAGGCTTTGGACAAAACTTTCCCCTATCTTCCTTTCAGACCAGGCTTGGCTGTTTCCATATGGGCATTGATTGCTGATAGCTGGTGCCTGTGTGAATGATTACTTTGTGTTATACCCCTTCAGTATAAAGTTGGTCCCTGCAACTGGTTAAAAATTCTCCAATGTAGGAGTGTTGCTGTTTTGGATTTTCCCTGAATTTGGAGTTTTGAGTCCTGGGTTGCTGTCTTGTTGGTGGCATGTCTACTCACCAACAACCCTACCTCAATTAAATAACAAGTTCAGTTGGTCAAACAAAAATTAAAGAGAAAAGAAAATTTGGGAAAATGACTAATTTATATATAACATACCAAACAAAATCTGAACCATTTTATTTTACAGCTTTCTCCTTGATGCCAGTGATCATGGTGACTATCACAATAGGAGTGGGGAGGGTTGAGCTGCCACCTTGATACTTGTAAGGTACATGCTCTCATTGAGCTACACTCCTTTATTAACCTAGGATGGGTTATATGGGCAAGAGCCCCCATTTAAAAAATATCAAGTTCAATTGGTCAAATAAAAATTTACAAAACAGAAAATTTGGGAAAATGATTAATTTATATAACATACCAAAACAAAACCCAAACCATTTTATAACTTTTTTCTTGTTGGCCATATTTCTGGCAAAGATGTATATAATCATGTAATAATTTTAATCTATAGGACAGGGGACTGATTGGGCAAAACCCCATTTAGTCCCTTACCCAAAATTATAAATTGGTAAGTATCAAAGAAACAGTGAATTTATGAAAATAATTATACAAAACAAACAACACTATTTTACAACTTTCCTCTTAACATCAGAGCCCAAATGTGATTTCAGGGTCACCAACCCACCCTGAATTGTAACCTCATGTGCTTGAAACGAGTTGCAGATTCTCTTAATATTTCTGCAGAGTTGCAACCTCTTGGTTGCAGAGCCATCCTTACCCTAGAGGTAGGATCATTGCAGGCAACTTTAGTCTAACATGCCAGCTTTCTCTGGTCTGGGTGCTGTGTGGAAAGATTAGTGAAAGTGTCATTGACGATTGATGCAATCATGATAAACTCCAGGGCCACATACCCCCCTAGAATTTAATTGCATTGTTGTATCTCAGGGCAAGCTAGTCAGATTAGCCTTTTGTACACAAGGAAGATGTGAGAATGACTGTAAAGTGTTCAAGGCAGCGTGCGTGCATGCTTCAACATCTGCTAATTTCCAATAATCAAATGTTGCATACTTGAATTGTTTCTTTTTCAACAGTGTGCTGCCTTGACATCTTCTTGTAATTAATTATATAATAATATAATATTAATGTTAATAATGTTGATATGATTACAAAAGGCCAAATACCAATTGTTTACCATCTTGATGAGAATCTTATAATTACCCAGCAAGATCTGCTCCACGTTTGATTTAAAAGGCATATCAATGCAAATTAAAAAAAAGTTACCTCTGGTTAGTTATTAACACTTCTCTTTTAGGAGAACCAATCATGCTAAACAACATCACTTGCGTTTTGTCACCTTGGACTCTGTCAAAAAAATAAATTGTTTTTCCAAAAAAAAAGGTCGCATCAACAAAAAAAAAATCTTTGTGCAACACCAAGTGCCAATAATAATATGTTATATACATTTTTGTTTACTTTTTATTTTTTTTTTTTTCAAAAAAAAAATGTATCAATCTAATAAGAAAAAAAGACAACAAGAAACTGGATGCGAAGAATATTATGGGTAAGTGTTTTAAGAATGGTGGTGGTTGTTATTGCCACTTGTCATCACTCTAGTTGATTAACAAAGATCGTCAATTGGAGAGTACACCAAAAATTCTGCCAATGTCGTAAGTAAATAATGTTCTTTTTTTGATTCGTAGGCTCATTTTGATTTAATGAACTTTCAATTTCATTTTTTATAGTTAATTTATGATAATGACTATAAGGAGAATGATAATGATATAATTACTGTTGAGAGAAATGCCAATGAAATTGTAAATTTTAACTCCAATAAAGACAACTTTCTAATTGGCCTTTTAAGTAATTCTTATACCATTGTTTACAGTTAATTTTGTCTGAAAAGAGCCTAGAAGACATCTGGCGGTTAGTGATGAGTAGGCTAAAAGAGAATGAAATCAGATTGCAGTAAGTATTTGGACATACACTATATGATATCAACCTGATCTGATATATACAATTAACATTACATAATTAACAGGGCAATTGAATCTTGGATTATTGATCTTACAAATTGGACCAAAGTTGAGTGGACAAGGATTTTAAAAACTAATGATAAGTCAAAATTAATAAGATTGTGTCAGAAAAAGCTGCTAAGGGAAAAAATCAATAAGAAAGTCTTAGATTTCTTTCAGAAACCGCCAATTAATTTGGTATCTATATTTGTTATTTTGCTTTTAGATTGAATATTTCTAGATTTTGCAAAAAAAAAAAAAATTTTTTAGTGCTGGGCAAAATTAATTTCTAATTCAAATAGTTGGTACACAACCAACATTTTTGAAATTATAAGATTAACAAGTTTGGATTTATAATAATTATATATAGAGCAGGGTTGGCAAATTGACTGGTCCATTGAGAACAGATGGATTTTGGATGGTCCATTGCAATTAATAAAATACTAAATATGGTCAAAGTGTTACACTAATGGACCCAATGGACCACCAATAGACCATCAATGGACTGCACATTTGCCAATCCTGATATAGAGAACTCTTAATGACCTCCGTAAATGGGAACTTGAGCTTGAAAGTTTTGGTTTAGAGGATGGAAAACTAGCCTCTCAAATTGTCTCATTCTTGTAAGTTACATTTTAGTGTAGTTTACTCTATAACTTAAAGTTACTAACTTTTATTTACAGACATAAATGTATTAGATGCGAAGTAAATCTCTTGTTAACTCCTCTTAGGGAGCATGACTACATTGTAAAGATTTTGTCACCCCTTTTGAGTGATTTGTTCGAGGAATTTGACAGTGGTTGCTTTAATATATTTTGGTATGTCATTGTTAGAGACCCTAGATTTATGCGGCAACAAACATCAAATTATGCATGCAACACTTGGTAGATTATGCAAATTATGCGCTATATTTTTTTATTAACATTTTATAATTAACTTTATAATCTCATTAAAAACAAATAATTTTAAATAAATATTATTTGTTATAATATAAAACATTAAGCATTTCTAATGAATTTTCTGAAAGATTATGTCATCTATCACTTAAAATATTTTTGTAATATGAAAAGCTTTGTTCCACATCCACCCCAGACACTGGAAGCCATATATACTCTAAAGCAATCCTAGAAAGTAATGGTAATATTTGTTGTTTATCATTCCAATATTTATTTAAATCTAAAT